TTTTTTTTTTTTTCTCAAGGCAGCGCAGTGAAGTCACACGGTGTGGCTCGGATCTGGAGAGATCTGTGGCTCCGAACATGTAGGCACCACGGCGCAGCTCTCCACATCGACGCAAAGCATCTCGGCGCCGCAGCTTTGATTCGAAGCCTCACAACGTGGCTGCACAGACGCGCCCGCAAAAGAGGCGGCTTTGCAATCCAATTCCCTCAGTCTGCGCCCCGAACCGAGAACCGAACACTGGGCTGCTGCCGGCTCGGGCTGCAGCATCGGCCCTGCATCTGAAAGCCGCCCCGTCGGGAAAGGGAAAAGGACGAAGGAATTCAGATAGCCGTGACGGCGATTGCATTGCAGTGGGGCAGCACTTCCGTCGGCTCGGCCACCTCGAATCTTGGAAGCCATCCACCATCATCCACATCCACCTCTCCCTTTCGCCTCGCACGTGCTGCTGACTTGGACGCGGCCATCGCTGGCATCCACATCGCCCCTCAATCCGCTCCGTCTAGGTGTCGATGCTACTGCTGCACCGCGCCATGCAGCCACGCTTGACCTAGCCACACAATCACTCTGCACACCCACACCGCCAACACCATCCAGACGACCCACCATGGCACAGAACCAGCCCGCGTCGCCCTCTGCCACGGGCGCAGACGCCAAGGACGACCAGCCAAGGAGCGGCCTCAAGAAGAGACGCATCCAGCAGGCCTGCCGCCCGTGCGGCATCAAGAGAGTCAAATGCGACGGCTCTCATCCCTGCATCACTTGCATCCGCTCCGGCGAGGTCTGCGAGTACGGCCAGCCCAAGAAGCGCGGCCCTCCTAAGGGTTCCACGCGCGGCACCAGCAAGGCCGCAAAGCGAAACGCAAACGCACATCCACACGCCGCACCATCCGCCCCGCGCAAGAACGCACATGATGCCGCCGCCGCCGCCGCCGCCGCCGCCCAGCCCGTCCAGTCCACCCGTGACTACCTCGCTTCGGCTCCCTCGGCAGCTGCGTCCACTACCGCCGACGCCATACCTGTCCCACTCTCGCGCCCCCCACCACCGCCCTATCCAGACAGCTCCGACTGGGCTCGCTCCGGCCTTCCTCCTCCCACGGCCTCAAACAGCGCCATCGCCTCGTCCTCCAGATTCCCCCCTCCCCCTTCTTCCGCGCAGGCACATCCGCACTCGATTCAGTATGCATCGCTACCGCCGCCGCCGCCGCCTCAGCAGCCCTACTATCCCTCGTCCTCAGCAGCCGCTCCGATGACAGCATCCGACCCCTACTCATCCGACATGCACGCCGACCCTTATCCCGGATCGGGTCATGCGTCCCCGGAAGGAAGCCACCGTACCGAAAGTCACCGCACCGGCGCCGGCTCCATTCACGACGGCAGCATCGATAGCCCCAGCTACGCCCCGCGTGCTTCTAGCCCAATTC